CCTAGTTTGCGCGCATTTGGCTTCATCCCCCCTCCTGACCGATTCTCTTGGGTCCCAAGCACTTCATACCCCCCGTCCGCTTCCAAGATCCACTGCGTCTCGGATGTTCGGACTCCCTTCCTCAGAAACCCGAGGCGCAATGGAATCGGATACACTCCAGCATCAGTCGAGGCCATATTCTTGCCCATATACGCTGCGTCGATGAAATCCGGCATCTCCTCCCCAACTATCCATCACGTTGTGGATGCGGACATGGGTACATTACATATATATATATATATATATATATATATATATATATATATATAGATAGGCATACATGCATGCATTTGTATACACACATACGTATCCATACATATATGTTGTTCATATATGTATGCACGCACATCTATATATAGTTGTGTGCATGTAGATATCTATACATTTGCATATGTGTATACTCACATATATGTATACACAAAGTTTATTTACAATACAATTATTTACACACATACACAGCATACATACATGCATGCATGCATACATGCATGCATACATACATGCACACATGCACATGCATACCACGCATTTACATACGTGCCGCCAAGCATCTATACAATTGCACATATACAATAATATACATACCAGTATTTATGTGTGTACGCATATGTTTTTATATGTGCATAGTTGCATCTATATGCATTTTATATTTTCAGTCTCTCTCTCTCTCTCCCTCTCTCTATATATTTGTATTGCCCGCATAGGCTAGCGCCGGCGCCGGCGCCAGCGCCGCCCGCCGCCCGTCGGCCGCAGGCTCTGGGCAGCGGAGGGGCCCTCCCCAGCTCCGCGAACATGGCGACGAGAGGGCTCAGGCCTCCAGGGGCCCTCACGGGGGCTCCGAGACCATGATTTTACACCAGCAGAGCACCTTGAGGCATCCTAGTAGCAGCAAAGGTGAAGAGGCGGGTCGAGGAGTAGGAGTGGCACGGCTAGCAAGACCTGAGAAAGAGGATGCGCAGTCGGGACAGGGGGTAGTTAAGAGTACGGCCATGTGCACCTGAGTACATTTTTCCCAGCCCTCCTGTGTTGGGTCCTCGTTTTTAGTATAGCACTGCTCGCGCGTCTCCTTCCTCCCGCCTCCTTCATCCTCCTGCCTCCTACCTCCTCCGCCCACTTCCTCCTGCATCCCGTGCATTGCCTCGAGGCCTGCGATCTCTGCAACCGTCGTCACTGTCGTGAGCTCCCAGGAGGCACGGCGGAGGTGAGGACAGCGCAGATCGTTTTGAGACCTCGCAGCTCCCTCGGGGGCTGCGAGCTGCGCAACGGTCGCCACTCTCTTGGGCTTCTGGGAGGCACGGCAGAGGTGAGGGCAGCACAGTTCGCTTTGAGAACTCGCGGCTCCCTGGGTGGTTGCGAACTGCGCAACTGTCGCCACTTTCGTGGGCTCCCTGGAGGCGCAGCGGAGTCGAGGGCGACGCAGATCATTTTGGAAACCTCGCAACTACCTTGGGGGTCTGCGAGCTGCGCAACTGTCGCTGCTTCCGTGGGCTCCCGTCTTGGGAGACACGACGGAGTGCTGTGCTCCCACATGGCGCGTGTCCACATGGCGCGTGCCGTCCCGTCATTTACCGCGCGGCGCTGGTGCAACACAGAGCGCAAGGCGCAGGAGCGTCACGTAGCGCATGGCGCTGTCTTTAGTGGCCCAGTTCAGCCACCCCCTCCCTCAGGTGCCTGTCGCCCGCAGCAGCATCAGCGGGGGGGAACCGAGCAGATGATTCGCATGACGCTGTTACTTTCACCAGTATTTCTTCTCCCTCCGTCTCCATCCTCCTCCTCCTCCTCCTCCTCCTCCTGCACTCCTGTCCCCCGTTCTACGTTCCTTGTCGTGCTTGACGTCGCCATCCCTCTTGCGATCTGAGGTGTGCAGGTGTGCGACGCGCGCGGCCCGACAATGTTTGGCGAATAATTTCAGAGTGCTGCATGGCGGCGCCTCGTGTGGAGAGGGGGGTGCGTCTCGGGTAGTTCTAGAAGGGATCGTGGCCGTGTGGGCCAAAAACGTAGCAAGGATTCCGGCGAGAGCACGGCTCCTGAGTAAGTTGTGAGGAAGTCTCCGGCAAAACGGCTGCCGGACCAGGCGGTCTAGGCACCCCCCTCTTTGGGACTTTCCTGTGGTCCCTGTTTGCCTCCATCAGAACCTTTAGCGAAACGCTTGTCAGGAAAAGTTGCTGAGGACGAGCAGGCCGCCCCAGGGAACGGGTCCAGACCTCTGGTGGGCGACGCTGTGAGACGATCATGACTTCGGGGGCTGGGCCCCAGGGTCTCGGATCTCAGGGTTCGAGGCTTTGATGGCGTCGTCGTAGGTTCTTGCAGGGCCTGGCCGCCAGCCTCTGCCCTCCAGCAGCCGCGTCTCGCCGAGGGCGCTCAGGGGGGTGCCCGCATCGTCCCGAACGGCCGCCCGAGGCCCGACGCATGGCTGGAGATCGGTTGCGCGTAAGAGTGACCTTTCACCGGAGTGTCCTTTGGTGCGGGCACGTTGGGGTCCCCAGTTGGCTGAGCGCGATGCGGTAGCAGCGGCTTCCGCGATCGGGTTTGGCCCCCCCTGAAGCTGCGCACCAAAGGTCACTCTTGCCCAGGGTCGCTCTTGCGTGTAGTCGGCGTCGCCCCAACATACTTATACTAGATGTGCGTCGCCCCCCTGGGGGCGACGCGCGTACCGAGAAATCCTACAGTATATGCGTCGTGGCGGGCGCTTTCTGGCCACACCGCTCGGAAACGATGTACTACAAGATGGGTACACTATATGTTCGGGTCGGACGCGCGCCTCCAAGGAGGACATACAGTATTAGGATGTCCCTGTGCGTCCCATGTAGCCGAGGAGAGAGCCAGGCATCTGGCGCCTCGGAAAGACCAAGGCGGGCAGCCTTCCGCCCATCTGTGGAATCCAGAGGGCCAGGGTTCGGACCTCGGGGCCGTCCCTGAAAGACGGCCTGGGACCCCATCCAACGTGTGAACAAAAATCTAGAGGGAGGTTTTTCAACCGCCGTTTTCGGCCCGAGGGGTGCCTCGCCGGGCCCGAGGACCGCCAGAACACGACTCGGGACGACACATGGCCCTAAGGAAAGGGTCGGGACTTCCGGGGACGCCGTGCGGTGGGGGCGTTGGTTAAGGAATGTGCTCGTGAGGCTTCAGACCCTGGATGATTCCTTATCTACTGAGAGCGGCGGTGGTACCCATGGCCAATCCACGATTGGAGTTCCACTGGCTTCCTAATCCTGGATTCCTTATGCAATGGTTCCTTATCCAATCGGGGGCTCCCAAACGGGGAGGTGACCACACCGTGTGGTGAGTTGGTGGGGATTCGGGGTCACCGCACGGTTTTGGGCCTCGGGTCGTTCTCCGAGGACGTCTCGGGCGACTGGGGCCTCCGAGGTCCCAAAACCGTGCGCTGACGGACCGTGCGGTGAGGTTTCCTGGGGTTCCGAGGTCACCGCACGGTCTGTCACCGCACCGTTTCGGGACTCCGAATCCATTGCCCTCACCGTATTGAAAAAAATCAAGACATCAGATGTCTGGGCCCAGACATCCGTCGCCGTGACTGTTCTACAACATCGACCCGGTGTTGCAGTTTTTTCACGCCGGGTGCTTTCGCGGATTTTCGGGCGGGGCACTCACAGATCGATCCAGCTCGAGATATGCCGCAGGAAGATGGGGTCTAGGGCTCCGGTCGTGAGTCGTGATTGTTCGCGCCGTCGTATTCTTTCGCAACGTCGGATATCAGGGTTTACGTTTAGACCACTTCCTTATCCATTTTGGCTCAAGCGTGTTTGGCCATTTTTGTTTGCTGCGCGGCATCCACTGCAACCCCGTGTAGTCTGTCGCAGCTGTTGAGGGGATGGCCCGCGGGCGTTCGGTCGCAGTGCCCTGCGCCGTGGTCGCGCTTGTCGCGTTCGCCACCCTTCACCAGGCATTCGTCGGACTCGCTGGCAAGGCAGATGTCGCCAAGGTCGCGCTCCGCGCCGAGCCCGTGGCAGCGGCCGCAGCCGCCGCCGCTGCGGCGAAGGCCGCGGCGGCGGCTGGCGGCGCTAAGGCGGTCGCGGGCGCGGCAGCGGCCGGCGGCGCCAAGGCCGCAGCGGCGGGGGCGGCGGGCGGTGCTGGCGCCAAGGCTGCCGGCCTCGGAGCCGCAGGCGCCGCTGGCGCCACCGCGCTGGGAGGAAAAGGACAGAACTCAGCGTCGCCGTCGCCCGTGGCCGTCGTGAAGCGCGACATCGACTTCGTGCCGGACACCTATGTGAACATCATGACGATCGCCTTTTTCGGCTCCGTGCTCGCCAACCTCAATGGGTTCTTCGGCCCGTGGTGATCCGGCGTGGACGGGGACGCGGCCCTGACAGTCGTGGCGCCAGACTGAGTCTGGACCGCACGCGAGGACTGTTTTTTCCAAGTGCTCAAGTTGTTTTTTCAAACGAGGGGCTCCCCAAGCGGACGCCCGTCGCAGAATGGAGGGCGCCTGCTGCATTTTACGCGCCAGTACCGATTCTGGTCAGGCCCATCCTGGGCCTGGCCAAAGCCAGTGCTGGTGCGCGGGTGGCGCTCTCCTCTCGCTGTCCACCAGTGGCTTGTGGCAAGTCCCGTCACCGTGCCACCCAAGCATTCTGGGTGGCGATTGTGTAACGGGGCACGGAAGGCTGTCGCGTGCGACAATTCGTGTCCCCAGGCTTGCGGATTCTGTTGCAGTTGCAGATCACCATGCCTCGCCGCGACTGACCTTGACGGACAACAAAGGGTTACGATTAGACCACTCCTCTGGGACTGGCTCTTCATCCTGAGCTGTTTTTGACGGTCCTTGGGCCCAGTGTCGAAACCTCCCGACATGTTTGGTTAAGCGTATTGCAATCCCAGATGGCAATGAGTTCGTGGTCTAACTTAGGTCCACGGTTTTAAGGGATATCCCTAGACATGTGGGTGGTATCTCGTCTGACAAATCTGTAAACATACCCCCTATCCCTAGTGTTCTTGGTCCT